TCTTGTTTCGACTAACGGGGAAACCTCTCGAGGTCACAGAAAGTTTTTCGACTTAAAACTTACAGTCACTATATTTATTCTACAAAAAATATATGTGAGTTACACGAAAAGTCACAGAGATAATGTCAGAGTTGTAACCGGCCCGATAGCATAGTGGGCATTTAGGCGACATTTTAGTGAAAAATTGTTCACTCATATGAAATTTTAGTTCACTCATAAAGCTAAAGTCCGCCTGCTCTAGCAAAAAATGCCCACTGTGGATAGAGCCGTTTCTGGTTTGCAAGATGATTACTATCGATTATAGGAAGTCGACCAAAACCAACTGTGATCCAACTTTTTTGCTCAAGTTTTGAGGGTATAAGTGCGTGTGAGTGAGAATGAAAAGAGCAATTACACATACTCACATTCTGAGAGAGACCAGATGTGACTTTTTCGTCTAAAAAATTTCTTGAAACTTGAATGAGAAAAGGCCAGTTCAATCATTTCAACCTATCCAGTTATAACTCTGGGTTAAGTCATCTTTGATCAATCTCTATTCTCTATCAGGTCATTATTGGCTGATTTCTCTTCCCTCTAAACTTGATTACACCATACTTGAATAGTTCTTTTGTAATGTATTATTACGACTTGTTGAATGCATACTGGGTAACCATGAGCCAATTAGATCTGATGTTCATAATTTTCATTTAGTGGTATAACAATAAGACGATTACGTGTTATATGTGCTAATTCCATAACTAATGATGATCTTCTTGAACATGTATCATCTTCTAATAAAATTGATCGTTTCGATTGACAAGCTGCTGCCAATAATTCCAATTGTTGAATAGTTAGTTTTGTGTGTACTAAATTGGTGAATGAAGAATCTGGTTCTTCAGTACCTGTTTTGATATATATTGAACCAATACGAACAACATTTGCAACTGATGTATCAATGAATAGATCTTGTTCACGTGCACTTAAAGCTTCATTTATTTGAAATTTTTCTTGTATTAATTGGTGAGTACGTTGATAATCTTCATGACCATGAAATTGACATGCATAGACAACTTCAGCAAATTTTCTAATAGATAACATTCTTGCATCAGATGTTTGCATTTTTTCTTGGTACTGTTGATATTGTTAGCTTTGTTTCTTGCGATTCTTCA